CATTAAAGTGATTGATTTTAATTCTCTTTTTTGGCTGGGTCATTTTCTGGTTATAAAATACAGTAATGCTTGCTTCCAGGAATGACTTTAGGAGTACTGCTTCCCTTTTTATTTCATTAAAGAGTTTGATGAATATTGGTATTAGATCTTCTCTAAAGTTCTTGTAGAATTTGACAGTGAATCTGTCTGGGCCTGGGCTTTTCTTAGTTGGTAGTGTTTTTATTATTATTATTTCAAGTTTATTGAATGACATTGCATTATTCAGGGTTTTCATATTTTCTTGGTTTATATGTATCTAGAAATCCACCCATTTCTCCTAAATTTTCCATTTTATTAGAGTACAGGTTCTCAAAGTAGTTACCAATGATCTTCATTTCAGCAGAATCCATGTAATTTCACCTTTTTCATTTTTGCTTGCATTGATTTGGGTCGTTTCTTTCCTTATTTTGGTAAGATAGGCTAAAGATTTATTTTGCTTATTCCTTCAAAGAACCAACTCCTCAATTCATTGATTTTTTTTTTTTTTTTTTTGGAACTGGGGATTGAACTTGGGACCTTGCACTTGAGAGGCAGGCGGCGGCACCACTGAGCTAAATCCCTGGCCCTTGTATTGTTTTTTATAGTCTCAATTTCATTAATTTCCCCTCTGATCTTTATAATTTCCTTACTCATCTAGCTTTGGATTTGGATTACTCTTGTTTTTCTAGGGCCTTCAGGTGCATTATTAAGTTACTTATTTGGACTTCCTCTGTTTTTCTGATGAGGGCATTCACAGCTATAAATCTCCCTTAGGACTGCTTTCATTGTTTTCCATAGGTTGTATGCCATACATTGTAATGCTTTATTGTTTGATTCTAGGATCTAATTTCTTCCTTGATATTTTGTGATCCATTACTCAAGAGGATATTGTTTAATTTCCACGTGTTTGCATATTTCTCTGGTTTCTTTGCCACTGATTTCTAGTTTCATTGGATTATGATTTTCTCTGCCTAGCTTTACAGTGAGTGGGTTTGTGAGGTGTCCCCTCCTCCAGAGTTCCCTCTATCTATACACTCCAGGCTGTAGCAACTATCCCGGTGAAGCCATATCCTTGCTCACATTGGTACAAGAGGAAAGCAAACAGATCTTTGAGTTTTATGCTGATGTAGGCAGTGGGACTGTCTGTTGGACTTAATACTACCACTTTTAAACCCAGCCCTGGAAGTCACACTGGCCTGGCCTGGTTCTGCTCTGCATATATTCTGCTCTCCAGCTCAGTTCAAACAATTAACTCTTTCCCAAAATGGCTCCTGATCAAACCCTCTCAAATATAGCAGGGTATGCACTAGATTTCTTCTCCAACTCTAGCCTGTCATGTAGGAGTCACTTTTAGGATAAAATACACTGGGCTTCTCTCGGGGCCAGCACTTCTGGCCTGTTCCACTGTTCCTCCATAGAACTATGACATGTTCCTCTCTGGACTTAACCTATGCTGGCAGAGACAGGTCACCTTTCCTAGGAGCCAGAGTGAGCCTTTCAGACTACCTTGCTGCCAAACCAACCAATTTATGTTAGCATGTTGGAGGACCCAGCCACCAAGAATCATGTTATCTTCTAGCCAGGTGTGTAGGGACATTGAGATAGGAGGGGACAGGTTGATGGAAGGCCTTTTTTCTCCTTCTGAATCTTTCATCAAGGGTCAGTACTACCTCTTCACTTCTGTAGCTAAAGCCATGTATGTAGGCCTGTTTTGGGGTTTTTTTTGTTTTTTGCTTTTTGCCTTTTGCTCCCCTGCAGGCCAATGTGCATCTACCCCACTGTTACTGGCATTTTTGATCCTGAAGCATAGATTTCCCATTCCAAAGGGACTGAGTAGGATGGTTCTTGGACACCTCCATTCAACAGAGCTATAAAAGGGAAGTTCCTCCCTTCCCCAAAATATACAACTCTCTCCTCTAAAGCAATCGAAAGAAATCAAGGATACAGGAGAGAATGGTTTTGTCAGTTGGCAAAGCCACATATTTACTGACTCAATGAACACTAAAGTTTTTGGTCCATTAAAAGATCCATCATTTACTTCACATTTGGAGAACCCTGTACTCATCAGCCACAGCCACAGCCCCTTTTAGCTGGGGCCATGGGCTTGCTGCTTCATTGCCAGAACATTCTTTCTACCTCCTGCCCAGAGACTGAACAACAATCTAAGTACCATTTAAACAGCATGTTTCAGTCCTACTTGTTGCTGCTTAGCCCCTAAAACAATAGGTAGGACAATAGAGGCTTTAGTGTTCATTTTTTGTGTGCAAATGGTGTCAAGTGAAGGAGAGCAGGTGGTGTAAGAGGCCTCTATTGCTACCAGATTCTAGAGAATTTTCTCATATCCCCCAAACTGGTCCGTGAAGAACCATGTCTTTTCTTGGAAACTTTATCTGTTAGGACCCCATCCTTGTTACTAAAGCTTTCAATCTGTGAAGGGTCTATAAGTTTATCCTACTAGAAAACTCAGTGGTGCTCCACTTCCCTCACAAGTGCAAGGTCCTGAGTTCAATCCCTGGTACCGGAAAAAAAAAAAAGGTAACTAACAAGTTAGCCTTCTATTCTCTCATGGATGTTGGCAGAAGATGAGACTCCAGGATCAGAGATAAACTTTATTACTTCCAGTACCACAAGCACATTGTTTTGTACCAGTTCTCCAAGACCTCTACTCCCAAAAGTGCTGCAGACTTAGATGGATACTTCCTTATGCAGACCCTGAACATGTGAAATTCAAGCCTTTTATGAGAAATATGAAAACATACTAATCCCAAGGTAGCTTACTTCCAACAGAAACAGAGAAATGGCCCGGAAGAATGGTCAGTCTTGCTTTCATACAAAGCAGGACTATGCAGATACTCAGGGCTCATGGTGCCTTGCCTCTCCCAGTTCCTCTTGTGGGTCATCTTTGACAGAATTATAAACCAAATCTAGACCACTAAAGCCTCAATACTACTCAATCCTTTCTGGTTTCCAAAAAATTTATCACAGAGACATCTCCTTGTAAGGACTGAAGTCCTTTTACAGTAGCCAATACCCACTGCCAAACATTGAGATTTTTCCTGTTTTATCTGCATTAAGTGTAAGGCTGGCATGAGACTGTAGGAGACAGCTGTAAGACACTCAACAATTGCATTACGATCGCTATATACATTTCCTAAGCAAATTGGCCAAAGTTAGAACATCTTACCTGGTTTCTGCCCACAGCAGAAAAGTAATTGCCCTCCTTTCAGGCTCATGTAAGTGCACATCTCTGGAACTGTTTTCAAAGAGGGTAACTGCTACTCATGAGAAAGAGTATTTCCAACCAAGGGAGAGCAAGCAACAACCAGGGAACTTTTTGAACAACTATCTTTGAACTTATTTCTCACTCCTCAGAGCTTGCAACCACCTCCCCAGTTCAATTACAGGTATGGAAAGTGGGTCATAAACAACACCAAAATATCAAGAAAAACAAAACATTCATGGCACAAAAAAGATTATAAATGCTTGTTGACTCATTAGGGGCTGGGGGCCTCAGAAATCACCTGATCAGCGAGCTTAAGAATAGTCTATTTAATAACACAATAGGCTGTCAATGGGACAGGATATTTTTTATAAAATTAGTATTACTGTGACATTAGCAGCTTTGTCTGGTATTTCCATCATGGAAACAAGGCTTGAGGTGCTAGGTGGGGTTTAACAGGGGTGAAGATAAAGGTGGAGAATGTTGGTCAAAGAACACTCAACTAAGGAAGAACACACAACTTACGTTTATGTAAAATGAGATTTTGTATCTTTTCCATTCCCTAAGGTAGTTCTGAAACAAAAAAATTGTTTCTAGAAATATATATATATGAAATATATATATGAAAGCACTGTAAACATTAAATACATATTAGCAGCTGAAATTTCCAAATAATGGAAAACACCAGTGATCTTCCCCCCTCCTTTGTGGTCCTCTATGTTGAAGACTTAAGTCAAACAGATCAGAGGCAAGTGTGAAGAGTTGAGGAGAGGTTAATTTGATGGATGTCAGGGTTTCCTGGTGGGAAGGGTGTTGCACACCTACTATGGAGGGTAAGCAGTTCAGCAGCATCCAAAAGTGACCACAGGAACTCTGCAGTCTCAAAGTGTGCCTAGTCATGAGGCTTGAGCCCTCAATCATGTGATAAGAAACGGTCCTCAAATATCACCAGTGCAGAGGTAGAGCACATACACCAACTGCAACAAGTGGGTGGGCTGATAATCCATTTTTTCACCGTTTAAACTGGCTTTTAGAGTCAGAGAAAAACCTTAAAAAGATGCACGCAGTCCAAAAAGTCTCCAAGTGGGATTATGAGCAGATTTTAGGGATTATGGCAGTTTTTCAAAATAAAGGATATTCATATATAGGCATTTCTGGGACATAAGGAGTCTTCATTATCTCAAAAGGGTACATTCTTTGAAACCTCTTTAATAGAGATTTTGCCCTAGAAAGAAAAGGGATTTGCTCAAGCTCATAAACTAGAAGAAAGCTAAAATCAATCCAGGTTTCTTGTCACATCACTTGAGAACCTATTTTTTCCCCTTTCCCTCATCACACTTTCTCTTGGGATAGTGAAAATTTTGGGGGAAATAGCTATCAATTTATCAAAAACAGAAAAGTTGAAATAAAAACATTTAAACTACAGAATATTATGCAGCTATTAAAATGATTTTATACAGACAGGGAAAGTACCTAAGACATGTTTTAAAAACAAATTATAAGGCTGGGGATTTTGCTCAGTGACCCCACACCCGCCTTGCAAGCACAAGCTCAGGACCTCAAGGTCCTGAGTTCAATCCCTGGTACTGGGGGGCTTGGGGAGCTGGGGGGATCACAAAGCAGTGGTGTGACCGATAGTTCCAGCTACTCAGGGGAGGTTGAGGAGGGAGGCTCATTTCAGTGCATGAGTTTGAGACCATCCTGACAACAGAGGTGAACCCCTATCTCAAGAAAACAACAACAACAAAAATTACAGGACATATAGCAACAAAATTGGAATTTTTATTTAAAAAGTTTGTATATGTAGAGAAAGATACAGCAGGTATCAAAGAACTCCAAGCAGTCATAATGGAGAGGGTTATTCAGTGTCTATATCCACAAGCCTTGAAATTCATGCCTAACAGTAACTCCTCTATTGTAAAAGTATAATTATCTGATTACACACTTTTAAAAGTTTTAAGTAGTTCACAGGGTTAGAATTATCACCTTAAAAAAAATTTAAAAAGGAAACTAAAAGCTCAGAGAATTCCATGATTTATCCAAGGATTGCAGGAGTGAAGGTACAGTACAAAATCCAAGGCTTCAATTGCCAATCCAGTGTTGGTTGACAATCTTCCACTGAGTGACGCTAGACAGGGCAACACTTCCAAGTCCAACTGGAAAATGGTAAGGGTAATTTTTTTATAAGCTGAATAGTTTTAGATAATGCTCATCTGGAATTGCACTTTTGTAGGGCTGGAGAGACAGTAGATTTCTATAGGTCACAGGATCTGGGCAAGTGCCTAGTTCTTCTCTTACCAGGCTGGGAAAATACTAGAAAAGGTGCTGCTGTGCTGTTTGCAGGAACATAGACTCCGGAGTTAAGACTACCCAGGTTTAAATTCATTCTAGCATTAGCTATGTAACAGGTTATTCATCTTTTGTGTCTCAGCTTCCTCATTTGTAAAGTGGGTATAATCAGAGCACCTACCTTTTAGAGTTGCTGTGAGCATTAATGAGTTAATTTATGTAGATTATGGGGTAGAAACTAAGTCCTGAGTGTTATTACGAGGTCCTTAGCTAAGGTTCTCAGGGCCTCTGAATAGTGAAGCAGCCTAGAAACTAAAGAAGCCTATGGTAATAGTAAAATTGTTAATACTCTCTGCTCTGTTCCATGAAGACCATGACTTTATTTTTTCACATCTTCTTCCCTTCTATTGAAATAAAATTTTAGAAAATGGTAGTTAATAAAAGGCACAAACAAATCAACAGGGATATAGTAGTGGAAAACATACACAAAACAAAATTAAAAACGTCACTGGTTTCTTTAATTGGTTAAGTGCACAAAATGTGACAGACAAATTTATTTTAAACAAATTGAAAAGCTTTTTAAAAAAATTTTCCCCAAATCAGACATATACACACCCACAAAAATGGTGTGGTAACAAAGCTGTCATACACAAGTTGTATCCTGAATTCTTTAGAGAAACAGCTGTTGAAATAGGAATTAACACAAAGTTAACAACAGGTTAACAATTTTTAAAAACTGAGTCTTCAAATGTTGCATGGCACAAAGCTATACTATGTAAAATAGTGGTAGGTATGAAGGAAAAATTCTAGATAGCTTCCAGCAAAAATGCCTTTCCAGAAAAGCAAATCAAAACAACACAATCAGCAGACTAAGGAAGCTACAGCTAGACAGAACTACAACTTCTCATATCTGTGCTAGAAAATCCTACTTATCCAAAATGAACTAAAATTTTAAGACAAAACAGGGATGTTTTTAACAATTCTTACTTTACTCATTTTAAGTTCTCTATTTCTTCACCCTACCCACCCAGTAATTCAGCATGATCCAGCAGAAAGAGTGCAGCTCTTAGAATTATCTATTTTGTTTTTCTTTCTGTAGCAAGACTGTCATGGAGCCTGGATATTTCAGGTTCATATGCATCCATGACCAGTGTCCCACTGTGGTCAAAAAACTTAGCAATGGACTTGGTGAACTCGGCTTCCCGCTGCTGCTTTGTTCTTCCACTGATGAAGGTCAGCTTCAGGGTGTATTTGTCATCAAACCTAAGGATCAGGGTAAAGACAACGAATCAAAAACCAAACCGAGATTCAACCAATAACAATACAGCACCAAGTATTTCCAAAGGACTGGGATAAACTGGGCACTGGGAAAATAAGAAACACTTGTTTTTTTTAAACAATGACCCAGGGTTATAACCACCTTTGAGATACAATTCTGATTACTAAGTGTTGACACATTTTTCCTTCTTTAATTACAGCATATCTCTCTTACCTGGTCATAGACTGGTAAGCCATATAAACCATCTTCTCTCACCTCTGGATTTGGCACTTATGCTAGAAGAAATCTTCCTAGTAGGCTTTTCTTTCCTATCTTACCTGACTAGTTCCTGTTTGTTAACAATATACTTGGGCATAAAATTTTTCTAGGAAGGTCCTCCCAATCTGGGTTACATGTGTGTCCTTTGTCTTCCACAGCACCGTCAATCAATATTCAAATCAAACAATGGATACCTATTACACGCCAGATCTATTGATAGGTTCCCATGGTATCAATGAAATATTATTGAAATGATATTTGTGTATGTGTCCTTCATCAGACTGGGGGTTCCTGAGAGTAAGGATTTTTGTCTTGTTTTCAAATCTTAGCTTGGCACTTAGAAGGCAATCACAATTTTATGAATGAAGAACCATTGCTTTCAAGGAGGCTCCCCAATTCGAGGATGCTTTAGCCCTTATAATCTGTAAACACTCAAGTCCCAGGTTCCACTCTGACCCCAAACCAATACCCACAGCTTTCCTACATGAACTCCAGAGATTCCTTAATGACATCCTAAGGTACCTTAAAGGCCTTTACTCTTTCCATCCATTCAGGAGTATTTAATGACACCAACTTCTGGTAGGCTAACATACTCTCACCACCTGTTTCCATCACCATTTATGAGGGCAAATTTAGTGGATTACTGTGCAAAAATTCTCTTTAGACAAAGCAGTTCCTTGAGCTTGTATTTCAGCATTAAATGGGAAAGCTTCTACTTACTTTTAACATTACTACCATGGTTAAAATAGTTTTTGAGCATTAATTAGTGTTCAAAAAATCATAGCCCTTTAATAAATTGTTGGTCTAGGGAATAATTTCCAACTTAGATAACTAGTAGTGAAGGTCCCTGAACTACTTTTGACACCTCAAGAAATTTTCTCAACCTCTGACCACTTACTGCTAATTCTCATCACAATAATTTTTGGATTTCTGAGGCCAATTTTATTGGCAGTTACACTGCTTTGATGGCAGGACATTTCAGGAGTTGCGATCTGATGGATTTTACAAAGTTATTAGTTAATTTAAATATTTACTGAACCTCACCCTTTATGTGTCAGGCAGTTTTAGATACATGGCAATGGCCAAGTGGGCATGATGGAACACTCCTGTAATCCCAGCACTTGGGAGTCTGAGGCAGGAGGATCACTGCGAGTTTGAGGCCAGTCTATGTTACAGTAAGTTCAAGACCAGCCTTAACTATATAGCCAGACCTCAAAAAAAAAGCAAGGATCGGCCAAAACAAATGTCTGACTTTTGTAACTTTCATTTTAGTGTCTGTGAGGGAACAGGAAAACAAACAAAAAAGATGTTCTTTTACATATGGTAAACAGGAAAGACTTCACTAAGTAAATGCTTAAACAGAGCCCTTAATAAAGAGAATAAGTTATATGGGCAAAGTATCTTCCAGGGAACAAGTCCAAAAGCCTTGATGCAGAAATACTTGAAGAACAGAAAGTGGGCAATGTGAACAGAGTAAAGTGTGAGAGGATGCTGATGCTATATTAGTTATCTTCATGCAGATGAATAATTACTGAGGACCTACTACATGCTAGGAAGTATGTCATGTGTTTTTAATTAGTGACTAAGAGATAATTTCTAGGCTCAAATTTGGACTGAATTCCTACTCTACCACTGTTGAGCTGTTTGGTATTAATTAAGAATTAATTCAACATTTTGGGCCTGTGTTCTTATCTATAAATTGGTATTTTAAGGTTTAAAAGAGATAATATATTCAGCACACTACTCAATATATAGCAAATGTTCAGCAGATGTTTGCTATATTGTAACTGGTATCTCATGTTCCCAATAACTCTAAGGAGTCTTTTTTGTTATTTTTTGGCAGCACTGGGGATTGAACCCAGGGCCCTTTGCATGCCAGGCAAGTGCTCTACTACTGAGCTATATCCTCAGCCCCTCAAAGTTCAGATGACTTACATGATATACCAAAATGCATGTAACTAGAACAGACTGGGCTGGAACATAAACCCAGTCCTAGGTACCTACAATTTTGGGTCAGCTGCATGAAGTTATACCCACTACCAGTCAGATATTGACTCTGGATTATGCTTTTCTTGATCACCCTGAAAATGCAGTCAGGATCAAAGAAGACACTGCAGCTAAATAGTGGTTCTTCAAAGATAACTGACATTACACTTTTGGCCTCTGTTAACTGGACACAAGGAAGAAGAAAGTCATTCTTTATACTCTTCCACCAAAGTACTACTTTCTTCCAAGGTTTTCCCTCAGAGCATTTCTGTGATAATGGAATCTCATAACTACAGTGCTAGGATAAACCTTCTAAATAATTCACGCCCTTTCCTTCATTTTACATGACTAACACTATAATCTGCACAAAATATGCACACGATATTTTGCTGTTAATAATGAACACCCCCCACCCCCCAAGCAAATCCAACACCAGGATTTAAGAATCTGGAAGAACAATCATTACCTTTTGAGACTGGAAGACAGTTGCCAAATATCATCAGGATCCATCCCTGTAGGATCTTTCCTGTGAGCCACAAGAAAGATGCTCTTCTCCTTATATGAGGTATAAATGGTCAGAATCCCCATCATCACAAAATAGGTTCAAAGAAAGTTAAGGTGAAAACACACTAACATGCAAACAAACGAGCCATGAAAACTTTCACGACAGCCCTAAAAAAAATGGTCAGTTTTCTGCTACTACAAAAACACCAAAAATTTAGCTATTTCATTTTCATCTTTATGTGTATGCACCAAGAGAAGCAAGGCTGTCTGTGGTTAATTCTTCAAATACCTCTAAAAGGAAGAAAAAAGGAACAAGGAACAAACTAGCTCTCATCTTTTATGTTCAAAGACAACAGATATAAAATCCTGTCACTAGTTTGTCAAATTTTTGTTATAACTTGTGATAATTTCTCTATTAAATCAGTGAACTTGACCACATGGAACCAATTTCAAGGGTCATTAGAAGAAAACTGACTTCAAATTAGTTTACTATACAATCAATTACTTCCTATATTAGTATAGATTCATTACATTCAGCTTTTGACAGCACTACAATATTAGAGCCAAAAACTGACCTGGGAGTTTTATGTACATTGTGTCATTTAAATTAAAATGGAGACAAGAAAATATAGTACAAAGCATATGGACTTTAGAGTGAGTTAAGTCCTAGATGTAAATCTTGGCTTTTAACCAGTGTAACTGTGACAAATTACTTTCTTCCTCAAGTATCCTCACTTCTAAATAGGAATAATACTGACATTTTAGAGATATTCTGAGGCTTACATACAGTGTCTAGTACAAAGAAAGCATTTATAATGGCAGTTAATACTATTAAAACCGATATGCTTACGAGATCTTCCTTTGTTTTAAACAAAGATAACCGAAGTAATATCAAAGTAGTTCTCCCAGGAGACCACAGGTTTGTGATAATGCTGCTGTCATTGTTCAAACCTCTTTGGAACTCCCTTGGGAACCATCTCCAGAACCTATGGCATATCTTTCTGAATTGCGATTAATGTGACAACTGAAAGGAGTCAAGGATCACTTGATGTCAATTCTGGGGACTATGATTTGGCATCAATTTGGATACTATTTTTGATCAGGATCTGCTCTATTACATGGCTTGCTTTATTACATGGCTTGCTAACTGCCTCTAAAGGCAGAATTTCTTATGGCTACATTGTTTAATGATTTGTTTTAAACAACTCTTAACAGTGTTGGTACACAGTAGGACACTAGCAAGATGTAACTATTACAAATGAGGTAGAGAGCATGTACTAATATGTAAAGATACCCATTACATTTCTTAAGTTAAAAATAAAGTGCACAGGAACCCAAGTTCGATCCCCGGTACCAAAAAATAAAAAAATAAAAAATAAAGTGCAAAGCAGAATGTACAAATAGACTATACAGTATGCACAAATGGACTAGTAACAAAAAAACTTATTTTTTTGTAGTAAGAGTAATAATGTAAATTCTTTGTATTCAATCCTTTCAGAAATAACCAAGGTAGGTTAAGTGACAACCATCTACATTTACTATAAAAAGAAGAAGAAATTCTAGATTTAAAACGGGATTACAAACTTAGTGGAAATTCCTTAATATGCCTAATGTAGCAAACATCATACATAGCTTAGCCTAGCCAAGCCTGAGTGTATCAGAATACTTACATTAGCCTACAGTTGGGCAAAATCACCTAGTACAAAGCCTATTTTATAATAATGTGTTGAACATCTCATATAATTCATTGAACACTATACTAAAAGTTAAGAATTCTTTCATACCATCATAAAGTTGAAAATTCTTAAGTTGAAACATTTTAAGTTGGGAATTGTATTACATACCAAATGCATTATAAAATATCTCATTTAATCTTTTTTTTTTTTTTTTTGGTACTGGGGATTGAACTCGGGACCTTGCGCTTGCGCGGCAGGCACCAGAACCACTGAGCTAAATCCCTGGCCCTCATTTAATCTTTATGATAATTCTGAATGTGTATTACCCATATTTATATTCTGAGTCTCAAAAAAGTTGACATGAGGTCACAAACATCTTGGATTTCAAACTCACGTTCTTTAGCTCCAGAAGAGGTTCTTAATTCTACCATAACACAAGCCTAACTTACAACTTATGTTCAGTATCTTCAGTCCAGCCCCTCAGGTTTGACACTTGACACAAGATCTGAATCTTCAAAATCTAATGCTTTTCTAATATCCTGGAATGAGTGGCTTCAAGCAGGCTGGTCAAATGGGAAAAGTTCTGGGTTAGAAGTGAGAAGGGCCAGGCCTCAACAATACTATGTGTTTTGTTATTAAGTGCTCATATTATCATAACCTCTACAAAAACTAAAGTAAATTACAGATTTTAAAAAACATATTAAACCTAAAATATCAACAGCACCACATGAATTTAGATGCCCACAGCTCATAATGTTAAATTCTAATAGCAACAGGCCCTAAAATGAAAGTTTTTGTGGGGAGAAGTATCTGTAGAAATTTCAAAAAAAGTATGAGAAAATCTACACACAAAGGATATGATATGACACACAAAGCCAAAACTGGCTTAGACTCTGGAAAAGGATGCATATAATCCCAAATCAAAGCCACTATGGCAAAAAAACAGGAGATAGTACAGATGGTGAGGCGACCATCGATTAGGCCAAAATTCTCCACATATTTGTACTTTTCCAGAAGTACCTAGAGAGAAGAACAAGAAACTAAGCTAAGAAGGTTTCCTTCCTATACCCACTTGTATTCTTGATTTCTACGATAAAAAGTTATGTTAAGAATTACATAAGTGTACAAATAGTTCTCTCCAGTTGGTATTTTATGACTCCAAGCCAAGACTCAAGCTGATAATAAAGGAGCTCAGAGAAATATTCCATCAACTCCTTATGTGAAATTTTTTTAAACTCTCAACTGTTCTCACAGGATACAGCTAAAAATTTTTTTCCCTTTTCAAATGAAGAGATGACTAACCGTGGATGACTATCCTATCCTACTTCTCTAACATTTGTGTTCTAAGCTAATTAATCTCAACTTTCTTGGGGTAGCCTACAATTACATTTTAACATACTTCCCCCTACTTATTGAGAGAATTTTAGAAATTGCACACTAGCTCAATTTCTAACTGGAAAACTAAAGTCATTCCAAGTACAGCAACAGAAGAAAAAGATCCAAAGAAGATAATCTGTCTTCTCTATACATGCTCATGGATGACTCTTCAAGAAAGTACCTTTTTGGCAGAATCATCTAAAGAGTTTTTCACAGCAGATCCATCCCATTTGTCAATTTTTACAGGTTTATCATCAATCTTCCACTGTAAAGCAAACAGAAAAGTTGTGCATAATGAAATGTGGCATCTTATTGAAAGTAAAGTGAGCTAGTTTTTGAGAGCATTCTCAACTATACACAGCATTTATCCTTTTTGTTGTTTGAGATAGGGTCTCACTATGTAGCTCAGGCTGGCCTTGAACTCACTATGTAGCCCAGGCTGGCCTCGAACTTGCGGAGATCCTCCTGCCGCAGCCTTCTGAGTGGTGGGATTACAGGCATGTGCCACCAAGCCCGGCAGCATTTATTCTTTATCTTCTGATGTTACAGAGCTAGAAAACAAAAGGTTGAAGGAGATTAGGTCCCTAGAATCAGGTGGTAGTCATATGACACTGCCAATCTCCATGCAGAAAAGTCAAAATCTTTAAGCCCAGAACAAGAATACTTAGATGGACTAGAGACTATAGCTGTGAACTATCCTCATTTTACCCAAATACAAACACAGAAAAGAATCTCATTTTCATCATTTTATTCTGGAACACAAAATTCAAATAATACAGATACAGGAATTTATAGACACTAACAAGGGAGGGTCTCCTTTAATACTTTTTTTCATTTTACAACTTGCACATTTTATCAACGTCTTAAATTAGACAGCAAATCCAGTATAATCCACTGAAAAGAATACTAAGTTTTCAATTAGAAACTAAGTCTGTAACCCAGTCTTTATTAGTCAGCTTCCCTGTGCATGAGACACAATGCCCAATACCCACAACTTAAAGAAGGAGAGGTTTAATTTGGCCCACAGCTTCAGGGGATTCAGTCCATGGTCAGATGGCTGCAAGGGAGAAACATCATGGCAGAAGGGTGTGGCAGAGCAAAGATGTTCAGTTTATAGTGGCCAGGAAGCAAAGCAGAGGGAAAGTGCCAGAGAGGAAAGGCTCAGGGACCAGAGTACTCAGTCAATGCCAGGCCTCCATGACTCACCCAGATACACTCGGAAGTGTGCTTACAACTTGACAATCAACAATCAACTTGACACAATTAAGCATAACCACCACACAGTCCCACCAATTAAGTGACTTTGGAAAACTCTGCTTCAATTTCCTTCATCTATAGAGGTTTAAAAAGTTTCCCAAACGTTGCCATACAAAGGCAAGTGATTTTCTCACATGTTGTTGGGAGATGTCCAAAATGTTACTACAAGATCTATAAAAATTAGCGGTGAGGATGTAGCTGAGTGGTGAAGCATTTGCCTAGCATGTGTGAGGCACTAGATTCAATTTCCTGTACTAACAACGCCCTGCAAAAAAAGGGAAAAAGTATTTACCAAAGTCAATTATTTAACATACTGGATTAAACTGTCCTTTCTAGGAATTTTTCTGTAAGTGTATACATATGAAATAATATGTAAGTCTACTCACACCAACACTGCTTTTTAGTAGTAAAAAAAAAAACTGGAAGTAACAAGTGCTCATGGATAGGAGACTGAATAGACAAACTAAGTACATCCAGATATCATGTAAGGGTGGGATATGGGTGGCAATAAGATTTATCTGTGTATCTTTAAAAATTTTTTTAAACATATGAATGTAGTTAAATAATCTGATAAACCTGGCCTTTATAGATCACAATAGCCAACTCTTAATTTTTTAAAACAAATATACAAATACTGCATTTCATAAAAATTACAAACCACGGCTAGGGGTATAGCTTAGTGGTAGCCTGGCATATATGAAGCCTCAGGTTCAATCTCTAGCACCACAGGGTGGGGGAAAACCAACCAACCAGCAGACAATTCAAAATTCAACTGACTTTAAAATGGATTTACTGAAAGAAAACATTTATACCTCATCAATCTTTTTTTTGGGAAGGGGGGCATTGTAATTCTTTATAATAATACACAAAAAAAGGAAAAACTAGGGCCAGGGATTTAGCTCAGTGGTTCCACCGCTTGCCTCGCAAGCGCAAGGTCCTGAGTTTGATCCGCAGTACCAAAAAAAATACCAACTAAAATTTGCTGAGAATAAAACCACAAACTAAAATAGTCATACTTCCAGCAACTAAAAGTTAATTGCATTTTTTTCCTCCAGTATCTTATAATTTTTCTTTGAGAAAATTACTCATGGTAGCATTTTGTAATATTGAGTCTTACAATTTGCCAGTCTACAAATTAAATATGACATCTAGTTTTAAAAATACAAATTGAAACAAGAAACTGAGTTATTTGTGAAATAAAGTGAGAATAAAGTCATTTAAATTTTGGGGGTCATTGCAAAAAAGAAAAATCACATTCCCATAGAGATCCAGCCACATACCATGGCCTGCAATGCATCACAGAAAGGAAACTTGCTTCTGCAATTCACAGCATAATTTCTTACCAATTTTCAGGGATAAAACACAGTCATTGCAACACGTGCTGATATAGCCTTAACTATAGCTGATATAGCCTCAGCTCTAACTCCATTGTCTGGCACCTAGAAGGTATCTTCAGTATGTGAAGCAGGAACATTTTCAGTGACTTATGTAAATTATAAGGTTGTATTAATTTCTGAAGACACAGAAACATCTACTTTGTATGTATGAAACACCTCAGCCCATTTCAAACCAAACACTATCTCTAATATAGGAGGGAAAGATACCTGAAGGGGGGAAGGGGCACTGACAATAGATGCTTATTTTTCTGATTGCTATTTCCCATCATTCTCAAAAACTGCTCAACTGAAACCTATGTTACTCCTCATGTTCTCTTTGCTGATATTCAGAGTATTTCAGAAACTCTTTTCCCCTCACTCTCATCTTGCTTAACACTAAGTAAAAACTGCAATAAAAAAAGACAAAGCCAAAAAAAAAAGACAAAGCAAAGGTTAATGTCTTTTGCATGGAACTTCACAGAATAAATTACCTCAAAGGGCAGTATGCAGAAATGAGTTAATTTAAGAATGAGATTGTCACCTTTAGAAAAGCCTGTTTGCTCGACGGGGAGGATGAGGACTCACGGAGGACTCACGGAGGACGGCAGCCCAGAAAAGCCTGTTCGCAAGGATGGTCCTTGGCTGACATCTGGTTAACAGTTCCCAACACTAATAAAAGACATTCTCTAAGCAATTAGAGTGACTTAATTTGCCTAAACTGTTTGTGTAAACCATGTGATTTATGCTGAACACCTTGTCCTTTGGGAGTCTGGCACAGGTAGGGAGAAGGTATTTAGTTAGCCAGCCCTGAAGAAAACCAGGTACTGAGGCCCTAATAAGCTTCCCTGGCAGATACTTCCTATGTTCTGCCACAACTCTTTGCTGAGAAATAAAGCATTCCCAAGGGACTTCAATGGCAGAGGACTCAGAATGTTGCACTTGGTTTCCTCTGGACTTCATCCCATACAGCTTTTCCCTTTGCTGATTTTGCTTTGTATCCTTCTGCTGTAATAAATCATACCCATTACTAGCGCTCTAAGAGTCCTTCTAGCAAATTGTCGGTCTCGGTATTCTTGGGGAGCCTTGATATGAGTAATGCTGTATGGCCAACTGTAAGGTATATCAGATACTATAATTTAATACACAATTCCTCTTCTCATTCTCTCTGGCATATTACAAATACATGCATTTTGGTACAACAAACAAACGTATAATGTAATGGTTTAGATCAAGAATGACAGAGGTCCTGAGTCACGCAGAAGACGCC